CGTCAGCACGGACCCGGACCTCTGAGGCATGTTTTGAAGACTTGTGGTGGTTCTGACAGACAACGGGCTCAAGCCTGGCATCAGCGAGGTGCAGCTGAGAGTCTGGATGACTCTGGACTCTGTCTCCGAGCCTGAGGTCAGTGGACTCAGTGGTCTCCCTTTAAAAAGCAGCTGTTCATGCTGGCTTCTGCATGACCTTCGTCATCACCCTCTCCTTATTCTGCCTTTTCCCCTTTTTTTTAATCACAAATTTGACTTTTTTCTAAATTTAAACATGTCTTGAATAATTTGTTGAAATCGTTTTAATACTTGTTTTGTTTGTTGACGTGATTTTAATCCTGAGAGGCGCGGTAGAAAAGATTGTTGTTTTACCGTGGTTCTGAGTCTTTGCTCGTCATCCTCATGAGTCGGAACCGGTTACTGAGACTTTTCTGTTCAGGCCTCTGCGAATCTGCCCCACTCAGCATCTGGACCCGCAGCCAGTGGTAAACCATCTCCGTGTTTCCATCGCAGTCTGCGAGGCTCAGCTGGGCTGTCCCCTGTAGGAACACACACTAGTTCACGACCAGGGTTCCCACTCTTTTCTTGAAATTATTTTCCAGGACATTTTCAAGACTTTTTCAGTGTACAAGTCAAGTTATCATAACTACGGTTTGCCGATATCCCGATATATTTAGAAACATATATGATATTGTACCTACCTATACCGTTATTTTGGACAATATAGTTGTGGAAAGATTTTTGTCTTTCACAATCCCACCTGCTTTCCTCTTACTTACAATGCAACACAACTAAAACAGAAGTTATTCTCTACTTTAGTTCATACCAGAGATGTGACATTGTGGCATCATCAAGTCATCTCCATGTCATGTTTTTGTTCTGCTCAGCAACTGAACCAGGTTTAATTCACTGTGCTGATTGAAATCGTCGTCGTCTTCCTCCGCTTATCCGGGTCCGGGTCGCGGGGGCAGCATCCCAACTAGGGAGCTCCAGACCGTCCTCTCCCCGGCCACCTCCACCAGCTCTCCGGCGGACCCCAAGGCGTTCCCGGACCAGATTGGAGACGTAACCTCTCCAACGTGTCCTGGTCGACCCGGGGGGCCTCCTGCCGGCAGGACATGCACCGAAACTCCTCCCCAGGGAGGCGTCCAGGAGGCATCCTGACCAGATTGCCAGATGCCCAAACCACCTCAACTGACTCCTTTCGATCCGGAGGCGCAGCAGTTCTACTCCGAGTCCCTCCCGAATGTACGAGCTCCTCACCCTATCTCTAAGGCTGAGCCCGGCCACTCTACGGAGGAAACTCATTTCGGCCACTTGTATCCGCGATCTCGTTCTTTCGTTTATTACCCAAAGCTCATGACCATAGGTGAGGATTGGGACGTAGATCGACCGGTAAATCGAGAGCCTGGCTTTCTGGCTCAGCTCCATCTTCACCACGACAGATCGGCTCAACGTCCGCATCACTGCAGACGCCGAACCAATCCGGCCTGTCGATCTCCCGATCCCTCCTACCCTCACTCGTGAACAAAACCCCAAGATACTTAAACTCCTCCACTTGAGGTAGGACCTCTCCCCCGACCGGATGGTGGCAAGCCACCCTTTTCCGGTTGAGAACCATGGTCTACAGATTTGGAGGTGCTGATCCTCATCCCCAGCCGCTTCACACTCGGCCGCGAACCTACCCAGCAAGAGCTGAAGGTCAGAGCTGGATGAAGCTAGGAGGACCACATCATCCGCAAAAAGCAGAGACGAGATTCTCCTGCCACCAAACTCGACACACTCCACACCACGGCTGCAACCTAGAAATTCTGTCCATAAAGGTAATGAACAGAACCGGTAACAAAGGGCAGCCCTGGCAGAGGCCAACCCTCACTGGGAACAGGTCCGACTTACTAACGGCTATGCAGACCTAACTTACGCTCCTCTGGTAAAGGGACTGAATGGTCCTTAACAGTAAGCCACCCACCCCATACTCCTGGAGCGTCCCCCACAGGGTGCCCCTGGGGACACGGTCATAAGCCTTCTCCAAATCCACAAAACACATGTGGATTGGTTGGGCAAACTCCCATGCCCCCTCCATCACCCTTGCAAGGGTATAGAGCTGGTCCACAGTTCCACGGCCAGGACGAAAACCACACTGCTCCTCCTCAATCTGAGATTCAACTATCGATTGGACCCTTCTCTCCAGTACCTTGGAGTAGACCTTTCCAGGGAGGCTGAGGAGTGTGATCCCCCTATAGTTGGAACACACCCTCAGGTCACCCTTCTTAAAGATGGGGACCACCACCCCGGTCTGCCACTCCACAGGAACTGCCCCTGATTACCACGCAATGTTGCAGAGACTTGTCAACCACGACAGCCCTACAACATCCATAGCCTTGAGATACCCAAGATGAATCTCATCCGCCCCCGGGGCTCCGCCGCTGTGTAGTTGTTTGACTACCTCAGCAACTTCTGCCCCTGAGATTGGACAGTCCATCTCCAGGTCTCCCAGCTCTGGTTCCTCCTCGGAATGCGCGTAGGTGGGATTGAGGAGCTCCTCAAAGTATTCCTTCCACCGTCCGACTATAGCCTCAGTTGACGTCAGCAGCTCCCCATCCTCACTGTAAACAGTGTGAGCGAGTTGCTGCCTTCCTCTCCTGAGGCGCCGGACAGTTTGCCAGAACCTCTTTGGAGCCGATCGATAGTCTCTCTCCATGGCCTCACCAAACTCCTCCCACGCCCGAGATTTTGCCTCGGCAACTGCCACTGCTGCACCCCGCTTGGCTATCCGGTACCTGTCTGCTGCCTCCGGAGACCCATAGACTAGCCACGCCCTGTAGGCCTCCTTCTTCAGCCTGACGGCTCCCCGAACCTCTGGTGTCCACCAGTGGGTATGGGGGTTGTCACCACGACTGGCACCG